TGTGTGTGTATTTCGCTCTGTGTGTATAATAGGCGTGTGAGTGTGTATATGAATGTGTGTGTGTGTATGTGTGTGTGCGTGTGTGTGCGCGCGCTAGCGGGGGCATGAGCGTGTAGGGTGAGTAGGAGAACCTGCACGTAAGCCCAAGGATCGGCGAGGGCTTTACATTAATGGGGTCGACAAGAGCAAAGAGTGAGAACAGGGTTGTGACCACTAAAAACGAATTAGACATCATCTCCAATTGCTCAAATGCCTAATATCAGCCAGCTTTGATTGTGGTCTCGAATCATAAAATTTCTTTTCTTTGACCTATGTGTAAACAAACAAACACACGCCGCCTTCATGCTGAGTTCACACGAGCAGAAGGACTAGTGTTACACCGATATTTCACTATACACGGGAACTGTTAGCTCGAAAACCAGACTTGGACATTTTAAGAAACACAAGAGCTAGACAACAGCCATTGATCACGGCACAGTACAAGGACACCACTCCTCTCTAGTGTCTTAGTAAACTTCCCAAAAATATGAGACAGAGAAAAGTATTAGTACTGCAAAACCCATCTTCAAAACTGAAAATAGAACTTCTTAGAGACATTTTTTTTCAGAAAGAAAGAAGAACACATTGACCAAACAGGACTGGTCTGTATCCAAGATGCGATGCTCATGCAAAGAGTCATAAAATTGATTTAGTAGAAGCCGAGAGATAAGCAGGCATGAGAGGACGGTGTCTGCTTAAACAAACAGTGCTGAAATCTTGGGCTAGCATTAAACAAACATTGAGGAAAAAATGAGTAAACAGGAGTCTTGTTGCACAGGTAAAACGAAATGTTACGTTCAAATTCAAGGAATAGGTAAAGATTTTGCCATCACGAAAGAATTGAATATCAAGTTCAAATATAAAGAAAGAACGTTGCTTTTAAATGAGAAAGGAAAACAACATTCTGACAGTAAGCAGCATAAACATTGATATCCCACTATTTGACGTTGATCACTTTGTTAAAATATCTGACTACCTTATGTTGTAATTGATAAAAAAAAGGAGACAAAGACACAGCCTAAGTTGACGAAGCCATTGGGAAACCAGTCAAGATTATTGGTATGTCGCTGAACCAGGCGACAACTCCTGGGACACGCGGGCGCCTTTATAAAAAGTAACAGTAAACAACAAGGTTTGTCCAACCAAGATGACATATACGACAGGAACTGTTAAAGACAGGCCATGGGAGAGGAAACTGGAGAAATACGCGAAAAAGAGACTGGGTCGAGATTAAATAGTGTGGGTTACATTATAATATCTTCACAATAGTTTTGCACAGGCTAAAAAGGGTATAAGGAGACAACCTTCCCCTTACATTGCCGCCCCTTCTTCAAAAAATGCCTTTTCTATCCCCCGATTTCTTAAA